GTTATGAAGTTTTAACTGGCCTATTGAAATATAATCCATTGCTTAGTAAGTTACTCTATAAACTTTTTTTTCTTTTTTAAACTAAATTAAACTATTCAGTAATTGGTATTTAAGATAAGCTGCTCCAGTTTTAATTTGTATGTTGGACAGTCGTGTGAGACCCATCGATGGTCAGATGGTTTTTGAACCGGCTGCACTGTGCGCACGTTGGCTTAAAATCTAGTGTGTCTTTATCTGGCCAAGCTCGTGTTTCGTGAGCGGCGGCGCAGGTAACAAGTAGAGGTTTTAATCGTGCGAAACTTTTGTACATGACCGAATTGCTGACAATTTAAGCAACGAACTACTTCTATATCGTCTATGAATCTACAAGTGGCCCAGTCTATATAAAGTTGTGTGTTTGTGTTGGCTGGATGTTTTCGAACTGCTGCCTCTACTTCTAAGCCTATCCATTGACGCCCATTTTCTAGTATACGATGCCTAAAAATTTTGGTTTACTTAATAAAATCGTTCTCACTTAATTTTAATTCGTCCTTGATATTCTGACGGTATAAGGCTGTTAGTAAGGCACGATCTTCCATAGCACCGGGTACGTCTTTTACAATTATGCGGGGCTTTCAATTGTCCGCGTACATTAAACTCGTTTGTTGAGTTGCGATACCCTCCATTTGTCGCTCAAAATTCGCTAACTTCGTTTCGTTGCTAAAGGATTTTATTGCCAACAAGGATACGATACCGGTAATTCGTTGAGTAATATCCATAATCGCTGTTTTATTACCTACATTCATCCGAGATCCCTGATCATTAAATAATTTATTATTTTTTTTTAAATAATCGGTAGCCTGTGACACTAACTCGCAGTAATTGTACTCCCCACAGTTATTACGACCGCTAAGAGACGAAACATTTCCACTTAAATCCGAATTATTAATGCGTTTACATCTACTGTCTTCCGACGAGAAATCCGTAGGTGACATTTGGTTAAATGTCCTTTTCCCGGTTGGTGTTAGAAATTCACTTGTACCGTCGGGATACGGCAACTCGCTAACGACCGACATAGCCAAATAAAGACACACCAAACAACAATTTCAAAAAGAACAAGCTTAAAAATAAACAAAATGCAGAGAAAAATCAATATAAACAAAGGATACCTCCTACCCACTTTTAGAAAGAAAATAAATTTACTCACCAATAGTCGTAATAAAAGAATTCAGCACTGTTTAAAAAACAATAAAAACTTACTGATATTAGACAAATTCATATCACTAAGTCCCGGATTTATAACAAAATAAGAAGAGAGATTCAGAGAATTTCACGTATACACGCTGCTTTTGTATAAAATCAAAATCAGGCTAAAAGACTAGTTGCAATCACTCATATATGATGACACAGAAAAATATTAGAAAGAGTATCATAAAATAATTTTCCTAACTTAAACACCCCACACTACACATATTCTAATACATACCTACACTCACCCACTCCATACTCAACCCTATACAGCAGTGCACTCACACAACACTCCTAGGTACAAACCATTACCCGTAGTACCTACAATACAGTCTGTTTCATATATTAACGCAAAGCTTTTAACATCATATTCTGCACTTTATTTCTAGACGATTTGCAAAATATGAACAAATAATATTCAGTGGTTTAGAAACAGGACATTTTTTGTTTTCGTAATTTGCAACATCATGTGTACATGCAGTCATAATACAATGACCTCAGGCGGCGATCAGCTGTAGGTATACGCGGCGCGGTAATCACACGTTGACGCTTTTACTACACTCGAATCGAACGAAATATGTTGATTATTGCGTCATCACGATGTAGGACACGCGTTTTTAATTAGTTCATCCAGTAAGGACAGTCAGTCGGCCCTTGGCCACCGGCGAGTGTTATGCTATTCTGTATCCTTGTAGATGCGCTTACTACAAATAACCGTAATAATAATACTGTTGTTGTTCATGAGATATATATTTGTTTAGAAAAGTTTTCTTGTGGTAATAATTGTTTAGTCTTATTGCTTTCGTCATAATACACGGCAATGGTTTGAACAATTAATGTTATCGTGTGCACAAGACTTCGTAATGTAACGAGTCCTGCTAATTTTATTTTTAAAAGTGACAATATTAGGTTCTGAGTGTAGCGTAGTGTGAAACTGAGTGAATTATCAGCCTTTTAATTTTATTGGGTTATCGGTATCAACATCCATAATGCCGTGAGTGACCTTCACAGCCGCGGAATATCCTGCCATGATGTTAATTTATGGAAAACTCTATCAAAACGCATCTTTTGCTTTACGGACAGGTATGGAGTCAATCGTGTATGTCCTACAGACTGCCGAATTTTTGTAAGGGCGGTACAAGGATTACGAGACAACCAAGGTACCTACTTTTTCAAGGAGTGACACGTACTGCCGGGTCCGAAGCTAGTCGAGCATTCCCAAAATAAACACGTGAATAAAATCGTATTCTTAATAAATAGATTTAAAAAAGTAAGTGAAGTGATTAGTAGGTAGGCAATAAGAATGTAAACTTCACCGGCCCGTGGAGGCGGCGGCGGTGGCGGCGTCGTTTTGATGTCGCCGACATTGCGACGCTGCCGTGTACAGTTCACCGACTCATGTTATCAATGGTGTTCTAATTCGGAAATTATTTTATTGTATTTAGTTTGTTCTAAATTTGCATTTCTGTATTTTCGTACAAATTTTTTTACTTTTTTATTTTAACCGTGTTTCTGTTATTTCATTTTTTGGGATATCTATTATAACACCCGTTATAGATACATATTTACATATATCACCACAGCAAAGATTAAAAATTTCAAGGTTGCTATTAATTATATTATTATTACTCTGATCCCTAAGATACTGCGGTCTCCGCATTTTTTTCTTTTTTTACGAGTGGAAACCGCCTTGGGTCGTCACCCCACCGGGGTTTGCGGCGGGGTGGTGTGTCGGAATCGGACCAACTAAAATCACACGGTGTGCCACTCTGCACCTGTTATAGGAGAGACCGGGAACCGCTATTATTTAGACATCCGGACCTCTCGTAGCGCCTGCCGGCAATGGCGCGGGCACCATCTTCGGGTATTATACATTCTCAATTTGGGCGACATCCGGCACACGTGGACGTCGCCTCCTCGCGGCTGGACAGGTCTACGTACCTAGTCTAGGGATTTGAAATGTTATAAAATGTATGACACCTGGGCCTCAATTCTGCTATTTTATGTTCACGCCAAGCCACTGTCATACCACTGACACGCTATTGAGATGCCATCGAGTGGCCATTGGCACCGGTAGTAAAATAATAAAAAGTAATAAATATAAATAGTAAAATAAATAATTTAATAAAAAGATTACCATATTTGGAAAAAATAATAAAATAATTTCCTCAAAACACGTAATATATTTTCAAATTATAAGGAAATGATTTATTTATTTTTCCCATATTTGGAAAAATAAATAAATCATTTCCTTATAATGTAATCTTTTTGATATCACCACTGCCATTCCATCGCCACTGTAAAGACACTGAGTTAGTGTACACTACCGACATTTATACCGATGCCAATGGCCACTCGATGGCATCTCAATAGCGTGTCAGTGGTATGACAGTGGCTTGGCGTGAACATAAAATAGCAGAATTGAGGCCCTGTACAACTGTATTGACTACAAGAATTGTATTGTATCTGTAATGTACGAATAAATTATTATATTTTTTGCATGCGATTGGAGGATGCTACAGTACGTCTGCTATGTAGAAGCAGGCAAAAAAGGTTCGGCTACTACATGACAACGAGGAACTGTGCAAGCTGGCTGAGTTGCCTAACGACTTAGACGCAAGCCATGGACAAATTGCTGAGCATGGCACTGTAATCATGAAACGATTGTATTCCCGTGTTGAAACAACTCAGTCTAAAGAAAAATAAAGGCATGCGTGTCGTGTGTCGCCCTGCCACCGCGTTCCTTTACGTCCCGCTGCTGTCTTTTATTGTGTTCTGCGCATTGAAACGCAAGATGTTCCGAGCCGCGATTAAGTTTGCAACGGACTGTACATATCTTTGATACAGACTGTGAGCTGGGATCACGGTTCCGTCAACATGACATACAGATCATGAACAGACTTTAATAGTCCACAGCTGGGCATATGCCTCTCTTTAAAAGGTTTTCGCCTACAATACCACACGGGCCAGACAGACGGGTTGTAGGCATAGGGTTTGTTTCAAGCTTTCTTTTTCCTTGAAGAGCTATTGTCTTGCATAGTTTGCATACAGGTGGCAACATAACATACGGGGAGTTCATAATTATAGAATAAATTGTTTACGTTGAGACAACTTATTTATTTAAATAAATAAAATGCAGTTGTAATGTCATTAATTTATTGTAAGTATAACATCCTACAAAAGAAATATAATATTCTATACATGTATTTACAAGTCCCTAATCCAGGAACTAACCAGATCTTTTGTTATTTAGGGAACAGAATGTAACGTAATTGTGCAACCATAACATTTTCATGATGTTTGAAAGTAAATTACTAGTTCGTAACTTTTTTCATTACTATTTTAAAAAACGTAAAAATATATATGTATAAATTTCAACATAATATCAATATCACCGTAACACCAATAACAGTATTCGTCACACATTGTCTAACACCCGTATTTGTCGAACAGGCTTATAATAATGATGAGTCATAACTCATGAGCCACCACCACTTTAAATGTATTTGTGTATTTACTGATTGACCAGGCAAATGTTAGATTTTTTTGGCCAAACAACGTCAATATCTAATTATATTAGTACCCTATTACACCATATGTGTGAACACGACAGCGTTTATGAGCCCACCACAACTTTTCTATATAACATACTAGTTCAAAAAACAATATATGTGTAATAAAAACATTCGAGTCCAGAATGAGAGCTATAGTTATTAATATTATACACAATATTCCTCGCTTATCAGTAACAATAAAATAATTTAAATGTTCGTTCAGGCGCAATATGATGGCGGTGAGGTGAGATCAGCGAGGAGGTCCAGTTCTTCTTCTGTCAACTGTTCGCGATGTTTAGGCCAGTCGTCTTGATGTGTGCGTCTGAACTCCGCCAGCGACGAGCGTATAGTGGCAGGAATAGGGTCTGGCGCGCTCGTATGACGAGCTAGCTCTGCGAGCACATCACCCAACTTCGAACCTAGGCTGTAGGGTCTTGACGTCAAGTATGCGCATAGACCTAGAACCCCGAAATGTCTTTCAACTAGCTCTTTTGACCTACAACTGCGCATCAAGGTTCGAATCGTGTGATCTTCATCGGGTAATGCACGACAATGCATAAGACCCGTGAGTAGTTTTGCTGCTGCTTGACGTACCTGAAAAGTAAAATTAAATTTATTGTAAAAAAAAAACTCGCTACCAATGTGCTTGGGTGGCTATAATGAGAGTACTTCCATCGATAGTCTGCGACAGCGTAACTTTGTTAAAATTATTTCTAATTCAATAGAGCTATAAATTATAACAATATCTCAAATGCCGATAGAAGCTGTAATGTAAGCTCCTTCTGTTTGCACGTTTTTAATTTTCTTAAATAGAGTGCAATATTGTTTCTAAGGAAAAGACATGAATGTTTTATATTTTACCTCCAATCTTCGATCTCGCATCAATTTGAGAGCAAATTTCTCGGTACGCACGGCTCTGTCAACCTGGTCACACAGCAACGGCAGGCCATAAAATAAAAGGGGTTGTGCAAAATCGAGGCACGCGAGTCGAGCCCACCACGAACGACCTGTTAAATTGAAATGTACTATTAAAATAAAATACGTGATACGAGGCACCAAGTCTTGTTTTATTTTAAGTGTTGGACCGAAACAGGTTTTTCAACCGAAAACGACCACCATTGATACAGTTTCGGTCGAAACCGTAACAGAAATCAAACTATCATTTTAAAATTTCGATTATCTACTGAAATCTAATATAATTTCAGCCATTTATCTGTTATATATGCATACCAGATGAAACCACTATAATAAGGTAGACTTACATTAATTCTAAATAAAAGAAAATTTATTTGGATAGGAAGAGGAAAAAAAATAGGTAGGTAATGGAAATTCACCTGTCTAAATTAATTAGGTGAGGCGAGGTGGCTGATTAGGTAATTTGAACGGACTATGCGCGTATTCTCATAGAGTTAAGAAACTGAAGATCACACATAGGTAGTATAAGTTTTTTTGGTGGTTAAAAATGTTGAAATAGGGGTACAGATTGTAATTCAACAACTAATATCTATAAATAATTAAATCTAAGGGTCGTATTACAAAATAATACTCAAAACTCCAGAAACACTTCAGGTTAGTTTTCGCCTTATAAAACGACATTCAAGCGTTTCTTGAGTTTTGAGAAACGTTTAGTAATAAGGACCTACGAGTAAGTTATATCTGAATCGGACATAATCTATTTTGAGTGTCACTAATATATAAATAAAACTCAACAAAACTTGAGATAAAACAATTTTAGGTACAAGTAAAAACAAAACAAATACTTATATAATTATTTATGAGTAAAACACAAGATGAGCTAGTAGTAGAGAGTAGAAACACTAACAAGATGAGTTAGTCGTGGGAGAGCCATGCCTCGGCACATATGGGCCAGATTCGACCACAGCCTCACGGAAAACCGATGTTAAGCAGTTCTTTCGTTCAATTTCACCGAGTGAGAGAGGTTACCGAAACCCAAACCCTTCCCTGATTCTGGGGGAAAGGGCGGCAATGCACTGGTGGACCCAGTTGCAGGTGCAATTCGACTAGTCTGCTCGCTTGCCCCAACACATCATAAAAAAAGATCGCACTGGACGGCGGCGATCTTAGTCAGAGCCGGTGTCCACGTGTTAGCCGCAAGGTTAACCGAACGATGCACGACACTTTACGAACACTGAGTTTCGTGCTGCCGTAAAATTTGGCCAATCGGCCGAAACCGAAACTAGTTTTCTTGGCCGACACAGAACCTTCGGTCGCGGTACTTATCGATATACGTTACTTACATAACATACGACTCGTTCGGCGGTAAGTGCTATAAAGGCGCGTAAAATATCGTTTCTATTCGGTTACGTTAAGTTAATCGGCGATCCACTAGCTCGCAAAAATGAATGCCACACAAAAGTAGTTCGAGAGTGGTGGCCGGGTACGTACCTACGGCGAGCGCGTCGAGGTGCTCGAGCGCGGTGTCGAAGGCGGGCGGGTGGTGCAGCGCGAGCGCGAGGCTGGCGAGGAAGCCGGCGGCGGCGCGCGGCAGCTCGTCGTGCGGCTGCGGGGGCCCGCGCGCCGCCGCGCCGCACGCGCTGCGCACCAGCGCGTAGCTCGCCGCCGCGCCGTTGCACGCGCCGCGCACGATCACGCCCATCGTGCCGCGCAGCACTGCCGACCCAAACACATACAGGACCATCGCTACCTTACATCATTATTTAAGTACGCAGCTTAGTGAATTATGTATATCCTTCGATCAGAATTACATCACATCGCATCAAAAGCCTATAATAGTCCAGTGCTGGACATAGGCCTCTCCTTAGAAAGGAGGTTTGGGCCTCCTATAAAACGCTGGCCAAACGGGTTAGTGTAGGGTTTGTTTCAAGTTTTCCTGCGTAGTTTTTTCCCTAAGTCGCCTCTTACGACACCCATGGGATGTATAGGGGTGGTGACATTCCGTATTCTTATTAATATATAATAATCAGAATAATAATAAATTTAATTGTTTATAAAACCACATCCCGTAACAGACTTCATAACTTCTACGGGTCCTTCGAGCCATACTGTAAATACAAATATATTTACAGTGCACACGTGTGTTCGAATACTATTAGAATAATCGAACAGATATATCGTTAAGCCATCGACGTCATCAGTTTCATGCCCTCACCGGTAGTGAGCAAGTTAAGCGCGCGCGCGTGGTCCTGCGGCGCGGGCGGCGCGGCGTCTCCACCCAGGCGCAGCGCCGAGTCCAGCTGCACCACAAGCTCCTTGTTGATACGTGACGTCATCACGCTCGCACCTTCCGTGTCGGATTCTCCGGTTTCAGGTGGCTGCAACGATTCATCATACTTTTTAATAAATGTATTTATCCAAAGCAAGCCTAAGTTGCTTACTTACTTTTATTTTATAAGATATAATGTTTGTGTATAACTTTTGCTAAGTAAACGAATAGTGAGTATTACTTAGTATTTATCTTTACCAAGCCCAATAGGTAGTTTTCCAACGAACACGGTTTAGCTCTAGCACTTTCTCCGTTCTCAGCGGGTGTCAGACGAGTCTAATCCATTCACTGATTTTTACTACTGATTATTTAATAGAATATTTTGGAAGCAGAGTTAAAGTTAAAAAAATGTCTTTTGAATGAGTCAATAGATAAACTTAGTTATTCGGTAGATAACGAGTCGTCAAGTAACGATATGTCACCTGTGGAGCGTCGTCGTCAACCTGCGACCCTTCCGGCGCCAGTCTGGCGACATCCACAAGTTGTGCAACTTGTGAGACGGGCGCGAGGTCCCTCAGCGGTCGGCTGATGGTGCAGTCTGCGCTCGGCTCGCGCACGCTACACTGCATGCTGGCCGCTGCCGATAGCGCTGTTTTTATTACTAGAACGAAAACAAAAATCAATTAAAATGTAATATATACCGACACTAGAAAAGAGCTGATGATTTTGTATGAATGCACATATTTTCTTGTTTATCACTAATAACAGTCTTGATTAAACAACAGCTAACAACCAAAATCGATCTATCCCTATAGGAGCTATGACGCTCATACTACAAAACTTGGGCAAATAATAGATTGCGCCAGCATTGTATTGGTTTTAACTGGAAGATTTTTTTAACGATATTACGCATTGATGGTACCAATCACTGTCTGGCACAGGTTTGTTATCTGAACTTGCCAATTCAACATGCAGTCAAGTTGCATACCCAGATCTTTCATCGATTGACAAATAGGTACGGTATTAAGAGTATCTGTGATTTATTATTAAGACAACTGTGAACGTTATATGTCTACTCTACGTATCAATAGGTGACTACCGACTAGGCATAATTTTTGTTATCAAGTTTTATAGATTCTAGACCTCTCTTAACCTTTTCTGTACCACTGACATGTGGGCCAAAATTCATGACGATCGGCTATAAAATGGTCGGAATGGATAACAAACAAACTCATATTCCGCTCTATCTCTCGAAATCACTATAGCACCCAGCCGCCTCGCATTTAAGACGTAAATCCAAACTCGATTTCGCGACACGAGCAGATTAATCACATCCCTAAAGTTTTATATATTGTATTATATATTTATTTATTTATTTAAGGATCTTCAACAAGAATATCACATAGCATTCACAGAGAATAATAAATTATTGATCTGGTGTATTCTTAATTACAGAAGATCACAGCCTGCATTAAGAGTCAAACATAACATTTTGAATCAGAAATTACTATTACACAAATTAGAAGTAAATAAATTAATGAAAATTGATTAAATTAAATTACTGTTAAATTCATTAAGTCAATACAAACAATAATAACATTGCAAAAGTTAACTACTGATAATATGGTTAATAATTAAATAGTCAACAATATAAAATTATATACAGTTACATTGATAATTTATAATTCAAATCAAATAAATTTATATTAAATTGATGTCAGCTGTTTATTGATAAGGAATTTAAAATGTCCTATAGTATTACTGAAGATGTCCATATCATTAGATCTATTTGAAACTTCATTAAAGTGGTTAGTCATTCTAATTATTGAAGAGTGTTTACCAAGATTTGTGCGACAGCGGGAAGCTTTGAGCAGTGAACCCGGATAGCGAGGTAACCTGCTAGGTACATTAATATAGAATTTGCTCAGGAGACTTGGACAGTCAATCCCAAAAAAAAAAAAAAGCTTCGATCAGGCACAAGATTATCTATTAATAAAACTAATTTTTCTTGTCCGATTGATTTTAGATGAATCTCCAAGGACTTATGATGATCACCGCAAAGGACTTCGGGAGGAACGGGCTCTACAAAAACAGCGATAACTTTTTGAATTATTAATTATTTTTTTTGAAATTTTCGTGAAGTCAAATCGAAACGTGTTCTAATAAAGATATGTTTTTATTTTTGTCAAATAAAGTAATTAACTACAAAAAAATATATATTGAAAATCATCATTTTTTCAGGCCTCTGAGTACCCCTAACCCCTTAATTTCAGTTTTTGTTTTAAAAGTTTCTTTAGTTCATGAGAATACCAAATGGGGTATTTGCCCCGAGAGTAATTATTTTTAGGAACATATCTCTCAATAGCATCCCTAACAATGGCATAAAATCCGTCAACCATAGTATCAACATCAGCGTATGAACCCAAAGCATTGCTCCAATTAACCGTGTTAAGTGATTCCACGATCGCGTCATAGTCAGCCCTATAGAAGTTGTATTTTTTAACAAGTCTCGGTTTCGTTTTAACACTAATGGGTAAGACGGGTTCAATGTCCAGGGCTGGGTGATACTTGTCAATTTTCCTAAGTGGAAACAAACATTCACTGCTTTGTATTTGATCAATATTAGATAATATTAAGTCAAGGGTCTTGTTTTGGAAATTTTTAATATTATTAAATTGTCTAAGATTATTAAGAGTAATAAAGTCTGATATAAGTTCTTTGAGGCGACCAGAGCTGCCCTCGGATACCATACCATATATGTATGTATGTAGGTAACTCAGCCAAGTATATATGAATATGTATCTTAGTATGTGTGTATGTTTATCTATCACACTGTTCTATCCATATCCTTAATTATTATTATCTCGTTAATACAAAAAACTTAATTTCTAGTGCACCTATTCAGACATTTCCCCACCACCCAAAGGTAGACTGAGATGTAGATGACGGGTAGATTGTATAATGGCGGACTAAATGCCTGTGGCATTAAGTCATTGTACAGAATTGTTATTTGTTCAAAAATAATTAAATAAATAAATAAAAATATTTGAATTCATAATTTATATAAGATACGACATCAGTACATCGTGTCAAACTAAGGTATACAAAATAATGTATTTTATATTCATACAATAGAAGCTTTTGCCCGCGGCTCCGCCCACGTGTATGTCGGTAATTGACCGCAATTACCGACGTACACGTACTAAGACAGAGTACTTACGTAATAAGACAGAGTTACTTTCGCATTTTGATTATTAGAAAGGATAAAAAGCGATACATGCACATACCTATGTCTCCATGTTCGTCATACAGAGCGGCTAGTTTAGGTTGCACAGAGGCTAAAAATTCTTCAAGGCTTGGCGCACCACCTCGCTCGCTGCCCGGGAATATCATTTCCGTGTCGAATATCGTCATCAGTAAACTGAAAGAAATTAATAAATTCATTTAAAAGGTTTTATAAACGGGTGTTTTCTCGTTGTGCTACTTTTTGGTCATACTCCAAGGAACACGGGGGTGTGTTAGTTCTTGTGGCCCTACTAAAGGATTGCAAGAAAACTAGGTTTGTTTTCTTTATACAGAAGCTTAAAAATTTATGTTTACAGTGTTTTCACTTTTGTAATTGGAATTTATAACCTCTTAGCACAAACTTTGATAGACAAAAATGTATCCCTATCAAATAAGTATAATATAATAGAAGCAAATAATATAATACTTTACACATAAAACAGCAGTAACACATTGTCTAACGTTTAAAGTTTCTATGTATGCATGTAACATTTTACATACGAAATGTAGTCAAAAGAAAAAATAACCTTAATTTTCTATCAGCAAGTGACATCACATGAACAATTAAATGACTTAAATTACCTGCCAACGGTTTCTCGAACATTTTGATAGGGGTGTTGTATAAAATTGGCATCTTCCAGTCGTTGTAAGAGTTGAGCAGCAAGTGGGGCAGCGCGCCACTTTAGAGAACCCAGAGCACCCTGTAAAGTAAGTTGATAGTTAGAAAAAGTACGAACTGGATATATATATATATATAGCTGCATATATGTACAAAGAAAATCAGAGGATTGGCAGTGACATGACGTTATCTTCGCAACGTTCTTGTATCTAGGATAGGCAGATGTTGTGTATCGTCGAGTGGGCAGGGCGGCAGCATGGGACCCATTCCTTCCGACTGACGCAGGTTCTTTCCGGGCACAGCTGCTTCGGTCGCTAATAGGGAATTGAGTCCCGCCTGTCCCCAATGAGATTGCAGTGAGGACTCGGCTCAGCACACGCTGGCAATTTTTCAGGCTTGGGCGTCGCAGCGTCGGGTCGTCATTACAGTCATTGGAGAGGATCTTCCATCTCCATGGCCCGTACCGCGGTCGCATCTTTCAACGAAGACATCATCTCGACGAGAAAAAAGGTGTGAGCGAACGTCAAATGGCATGTTACCTGCAGAGCGTACAGTCGCGCGCACACGATGAAGGAGGTTTCGCTGTCCTGGGCGGTGTCGGTGGCGGGCTGCGGCGCGCACAGCTGCATGAGCGCGTGCACCACAGGTGCGCCCCGTAGGGGGTCCAGCTTCTCCACGCCCGTGGCCAGGCTCGTTCCCCAGTCTTCTAGAGTCTCTGCCGTTACTGTAGTCAAACCTGCAATATAAATAGCACATAAGACACCTATCTATGTCAGAAACAATGAACTACATGACTAATTTCAATTTCTTCACATTTCAGAACTCCTTCAGTGAAAACTAAGGTAATGTAAAGTAAGATGGACAGACGCTAGAGGAGTATCGTTTTACAGTTGAGCTGGCTAGTACTTAATCTATCTCATCAATTGAATAGTAAAAAGTAAATCACTCACGCAGAAACACAGGTGTGGACGAGGTTAAACAAATAAAGATCACTAACACACATTATAAAGCTGTACTCTTATTAGAAAGTTGTTTCGCACTAATATTAATGTATCTAGTAGTATAGTAGCAGGTAGATTCTTTTTACAGTATTTACAGCAGCGTGATAAGCTGGTAAAGTCTGGTCCACCTGACGTGAAGATAGCGATGAGCGAGTCTCACCGGCTTCAATGACGTCAATGGCTCGTCGGTACATGGGCAGCGCTCGGTGGCGCGGCCAGTAGCGCGGCGCGCGCAGGGCGGCGGCCGCCACCTCGGCCGCGAAGCGCTGTTGCGCCTCCTGCGAATCCGTGGCTTTGACGCAACGTAATGCGTGTTCTATGAATTTGTTAGCGATCTCCTCTCCGAACTGAGAGAACAGTATCTGCGAAACAAAAAAACACATGTCATTACGGATTGATAAAATTAATGGACATCGAAATTCGTCTATAAATAACTAGATATTTGATAACACTGAAGGAGCGTCAAAATGAGGGATAAGAGCTAAGCTAAGTTCTTTAATAATAAAGTCACAAAGCAGCGATTTACTTAAAAAATATTCTGAAAAACATCCTGATAAAGAATATTCCCGTGAGAAAGCCGTTAGCATAAATAAGGTAATTTTAAATAAAAATATTCTGCACTATGTTACAGAAACTGAATCTGCTGTAGTAGTCAATCATCAAAAATATTTTTTTAAACGGTGGCAAACGAATAAATTATGTTTATGTTTCCTCTCATTTTCGTAGATTTCAATTACTTATCATTTCTTTTTGTTATTATAATTTCTATGAAGTTAAAACATATTCTCATATTGCAATTACTGATTTAAATTAAGAACCTCTTTGGTTCTGTATGCTGTTTGTATCGTCCTTGTTTCTCTTTACTTCAATTTTGAGATTTTACTATAACTATTGCTGGGTGAATATATTTATCGGGTACGTGTGCGTCAATGCATTAGCTCACCTTAAATAAAGAGAATCTGATGCCATTAAACTTGTCTCTTCCTTTCTTTTCTTCGACGGTAAGGAACCCGACGAGTTTGTCAACGTTTTCATCGTTACTGAAGAACTCGTACAAAAAGCGCTCGCCTTCCTCCATATCTTCAGGGCGAAGGTCTGATGAAAATGTTTGTTGAGATGATGGTGCTGCCACCTAACGTTTATAAACAAGATACATTTTCAATTTTGCAGTTTAAAGGTTGGAATAGTTCAAGGCATTCAAAAATCTGGATATGATTAGAGATTAGATAAAATGTTTTGGTAAAAAAACAACATAGCAACAGAAAGTGGTTTTCATTGTTAATGACACATGAATGTTAATTGTAATTAAAATGTTAATGTTAAAAATGTTAATTATAATTAAAATTGAGTATTTATAAAGACAGCAAGTACAAACCTCAAGTTTTTCTGGCCAGGCATAGAACCCTAACATTGGATTCCTAAGCCAGGGTTTTTCGTATTCTTCATCAGTTGTGGGTACATTATCTTCTGACCAGATCGCCCATTCTAGGTCTTTTCTGTATCCTAAAAAGTATATTTATTTCTGTTATAAACCTTTAGGACCTTTTCAGGTTGTGCAGGACGTATTTTCTAGTAACATCAACAGCCTTAAGTAGTCCACTGCTGTGCATAAGCCTCTCCTTAGAAAGGAGGTTTTGGCCTACTATACCACGCTGTCCAGACGGGTTGGGATAGGGTTTGTTTTAAGTTTGCTCCCTTAGTCGGCTCTTACGACACCCACGGGATGAATAGGGGTGGTGATGCCCCGTATTCTTAATATGTCACCACACGGATACCGTCACCACATGGAGATCTTTTCGAACTAAAGGGGGTCAATTCTATTCAGTATTGTATTTATTTTCGCTGCGAATACTTTGTTTGAAGGGTTGAAATTCTTAGCGATATCTATAACTAAGACTCTTAAACCTTCATATGAGTAAAACATTTTTAATTAGCTTGTGTGTTACAGAATTAATTACAGCTTCTGCAGTAAAATCGAATAGGAATACTTATTACAACAATTAATACTTAACTCTGGTTTTAAAATTGGACTATCATCAGTATGAACGGTTGCAACAAAATAGATTTCCGTAATGCTGTAATAAGGATTTATTTCGGTTATATTATAGTTCGATAAATAGTCAACTAATGATAATGTTGCCTATTCAATTAAATATAACAATCGTTTTTACTACAGGAATTTTAACTAATTAAATTTTACTATAGGAATCTTCAATCGATGAAAAATAAAGTAGTATCTTCAACTCACTTGTCTATTTGCATCTGTAACCACTTACCACGGATTCGTTTCTCAGGTTTAGGTACTCCAGCAATTTCGTACGGGTCCAAAAGTACTTTTTGCACCTTATGCTTTCGTTGTTTGAGCATGTAGTGCATGATACGCAGCGCGTTGCGGCGCACGACGATGTCGTCGTGTAAAAGCGCACGTGCACACGCCCGCACTGCACTCGCCGGGTACGGAGTTTGTAAGGAAGGGCAGAATGTCAGCATTTGTATGGCCAATTCAATGCGACGCCATTGCCTGTGGTAATCGGTGACCATTGTTATTGTGAACTAACTGCATGTCTTACACTTTGTTTATATTATTCCTTAAAATTACAGTTTGATTAGATTATACGAGGTCTCAAGTATTACCGAGTTTGATACTAGTTACATCAAAACTTGGAGAACCTTAAGATAGAACAAGGGTATTTTTGTATCTTGATAATTACGATAGATTTATTAAATTGCTCAAGTAATTGAGTTCGGTATATTTAAAGAACACGAAGTATTTGTTTTATACTACTACTAATTAACTTTACTAATATTTATTCATTGCTTTTCGCAAAATTCGAAGGTTAAAAAAACACAGTTTCGAAACTTATTTCAAACTCAAACTTAAATATCTTTATTTCATAAAATCTTGATACTTATTTGAAATGTCTCTTGTGTAGACTAAAGTCATAGATCAACACACAATATAGACAATCTCTGTTTTGTCAAATATTTAGGAAACTAAATATATACGTATCGAAATTCTCTTATATGCCTGTGCCGATCTACAACCGCCCATTTCCAAGGGGTTGAGCCTGATGAGAAGAAAGAGCACAAACTTTATAAAATAGGGGGCTTTTGGTACGGTGAGGCTGGAGTAAATAAAATCCAGGACGAGTTACACCAATGAAATTCAAAAAGTTAAAAGAAAAAGCTTACGCGTTAGGCGTTTCGATGATATTCACCAACTCATTCATAAGTTCTAAATAGAAACCTTCCGTTTTATTAGATGTTGCTGTTTCGCTTTCTAGGGCACCGTTCAGTAGTTTTACAAATTGTGGGTCAGACATCTGACTCTCTGTAAGAAGTTTCGTCGCTGCCTCTACTGCTGATGTAGTTATAGTTAGCCGCGTGTTTACTGTAGGGAATTGACGGTGTAGCAAATCGCCAAATGCTTGCTCCAAACTGTTGAGAATACATAAATCTCTAGTAAATTTACGTGTAAAGGTGTAATGTACAGGTTATTTAATAAGTCAATGCTTTGATTGGAGGTTGTTGATTTCAAAATAAACTTACCGTACCATACTGGGTTTCTCACTCAACGGTGCTTTAAGTATGGCAGGCCACAGGGCCCGTACCACATCCCAGTCTTGTTTGGCTATTAGTGGACCCGCTCTAGGTCCCAGCATCATAAACAAAATTCCCTTGTGCTTGGCATGCCATTCTTCGCCTGATCCTTCTTCGGCCAGTTGAGCTGCCAGAGATGGTACCAGTGCGCGGTATGAATATGGGTAGTGGGCAAGCATCCAGTATAGTCGAATTTGGGCCAATATGCGGACCTATAGAGAATTCAATAAAAATTTAATTACTTTTCTTAGTTAGTTTATTTATTTCCCTTTACACCGATTTAAAAGCTTTAACTGTAAGAATGAAATCAAGAGCTATACTTACAGAACTATACTGATTGACGGATAGTTCTGCAAACGCATGCAGCACCTTTAAAACGGATGGTGTTATCCCAGCTTCACACACAAGATCATATCTGGCGTCATCGTGTAACCTAGCTGCATCAGCAGCTAGCATGCGCAATCTCGCGGAACCCGCTCCTCTGGCGCCCGCCTCTCCGCGGCCTGTGCTGGGCCCGCCGCGCCCGTCCAGCGCACGCTCTAGGGCTGCGTACGAACGGAGACGTGCTTCTAGAGATGGTCCGCCACGCATACCTTTTAATACTATGACGCGTTCCCACACCTGAAAACCACTAGGAATTTAAGAACTGGAACATTGAGGATTTATTGGAAATAACAATAAAACATAATAAAATACGACACCTGGACATTTAATTAAGGACAGTGCAGATACGATCGGATAAAATTTGTAGGTGAATAAATAACTAGGGTGTCTTTCTGCATTGATTAATCATAGATCTATTTTCAGTATAAATCTTACCGTTATGAGCGTTTCGAGTCCACGTGTATCATCACTCTTGTCAGCAAGAAATCGTGCTTGAACGTCCAGTAACAATTTAGTCAATGCCACGCGAACATTTTCACCGTCTAGATGCACTTCATGACGAACGCCAGAAGTGAAAGGAATGCTCGTAGGAGGCACCTTGGAATCCAGGCTAGAATACCAAACAATATTTAAAGAAAGCTTCTCCTGTAAATAGTTACCATTAAATTAATACAATTTGTTTAAACATGTACTTTAGTATACAAAGAGTACAAAACGAACACATGCTCAGATGAGACTTCGGAATTATGATCTCTATAACAAGTATTCCAATTAGTTTGATTGGATAGGTTCAGCATGTAAATAGTGGACAGGGAGGAATTCATTGGTTAGATTCCTGAAAACATATCGACTCTCTCTGTTAATAGTAGAATATTGATACTCACAGCGCAACAGGTTCTTCATTAGGGGGTGGGTAGAAAGGACTACATGAGAGTACAGCACTGATAATGTAGAAGCTACTAAGTCTTCTTTCTCGGCACATGTCCCTTTCACCGTTCAACCATTGTCGAAGTCTAACTACTTCGGTTTTTAAATATCTGTCAACTAACATTTGAGCGCAAGCCGCTTCGGCCTCAGAAGGCACGTACCAACTAAAGTTACAATCTTTTAGTAAACATCCAGAACCCCACTCTCTAATAGGCAACCATTTCTCTGGGGCTGTTCCGTAATCCTTCGGCGAACTTCTCCATTCCTTTAAATCAACAGAGCTCAGAGATGAAAGCATATGGTTCAGGACGTCGCAAGCGCGTGTCTGCGATTGTCTGTTATGCAATTTTAACGCTCTATCCAATATTGGAAGGATGTCTGGAATATACTTGAGCAGAACGGTGCCGTCGCACTCCACTGCATGAAGTAATAACAGCAAACGGTATGTAAGGGCGCGAGGTGGATTCTCCTCGGTCAGGATTTCGTCAGACGACAGAATCTCTTTCAGTTCCTCGCAAAGACTTGGAAGAAAAGCAGCTAAGGTCGCTTCAGAATTAATTCGGGCAAATACACGTAACAGGACACCGACCATACTACCTGATACATTCGTTTCAAAGGTAGTTTCTGTAGCAAATGCTCTAAATTTCCTTAGTGCCTCCGTAAATATCTTAGGAGAACTCTGAATTAATACTGCGCATGTTGCTGAACTAATTGCAGTTTCCATGACAATATCAGTCTTACTGCGACTCAAATCTGACTCCTTAGTGTCCAGCCTTACATGTTCCAGGACACTCGACTCGATGATAACGAATATCCTGTCCATGAACACCAATACAAAGTCTTCCATTTGTGCGGTAGATTCGCACGTCAGAAGTTCTTCCTCAGTTAAATCGTTCCAATACTCATGAGCTGAACTGCAGTCGATTAATGGTACCATCCAAGTGAATACGAGAATAAAGTGTAAACTGACTATGGTCTTTTTGATATCATTGGGGTCGAGGCCTGGTAGAATGGCCATTAAGAGAGGCATAACGTGGGTCGGCCCTTCAGGATAGTCAGCATCAGGGCCTCTGAGGAGTGGTCTAGCGACGGAAGCCACAGCTGTCATAGCTGCGGTGACTCGGTGAGGTTCCGTAAGTGACGTCAATGAAGTTCGCAATCTTTCCAACAAAGGAGGTATTACTATAGCTGGACGTAGAGTAGCTAAGTTATGTAAAGCATTTGAAATGTCTAGAGAGCCACTGCGACTGTATACAGCTTGAAGTGTTGGTTCAAGTACAATGTTTATAAATTCAGTGATATCTTCGTCTCTGAGTCGATATTGCTCCGGAACCTGATTCTCCCAGCTTTCAGAGAATCTCTTTTCACGTTCGCGACGTACTCTAAAACAAACATTTATATAGAAAAGAAAACTTGTAAAAAAGCAACAAAAAGACGACGTTGATAACGAAAACAAGAAAAATTGTTTCAAATAATACAATGGTTGTTAGTTAGTAAAGTTATGAAACTTCGGTGCAAACAATTGTTTTTTTCTTCGGTGACTATTAAATACAGCGTGATTTAATAGAACAACGTATTATAATATATCATTTTTTACCTGTTAACGAACTCTCTAGCCAGTTTTCTCAACAAGTCTCTGAGTTTGTACGACCAACGGCCAGAATTAGCACTGTGTAGGTAGCTCTCTACTCCAGCCAAAAAACTTCGCAGTTGCTTTAGGACGACGCCATCAGGATTTATAGTCCATACGATCCATGATGCTACATGTTTCATATCTAAGGAATGACAGTTGGAGTTTTCTTATTCACATTGCGGGGATTTCGTTTCTTTTCATAACACATTTTACTTATTTACCAGAAGATGAGGTCTTATGTATAAATACCTACCTAAGGAGTGTGTTCTCGTAATTTGCATATCCTTATAACTGACTGGCAAATTGAGGGCATGAAGAAATCGCACGAACATCTTTGGAACATACGGCGTCCAATCGACTGCTCCAGGATTACGTTTTGCGAGGCCCGCGAAAACTATCATTAACTCCTAGAAAATGTAGTGAAAATATGAGCGATTAAATACCTACTCTTCTAATATTTATTATTACAACTATCGATTACATAACAAAGAAACATACTGATCACTGTACATTACTGCAAAGGTAATACGTAAATAATTACCAAATATGTTTTGAGTAAGGTTATTTAATGTCAAAGTCTCTGCTTTTAAACCTCCGGAGTAATTAATCGGACTGGATCCGTGGAGTAGGCGGACTGGGTGCTTTAGCCCACATTGGGTGATTTATTCAACGTTCAGTAGTGGCTTGCAATTATCTAATTGACTGAGTACTAATGTTCAGGTAAATAAATAAAAAATGCGTGAAATATTCGTTTTGCTAATACGTCATTCAAATATCAAAAATTTAGACTAAATATGTTTAGATAAAAAAGTGAAAACTTACTGAAATACCACATAGCGCATTATACCACGTATCCCACAGAGTCATGAGTTCGTCGAACCAGAGTAAATGGCCTTTGTCAGCATGTTGAGGAGGTAATGCTACGGGGATAAATACGGCCAGTTGGCAAGCAACATGAGTATCTGAAGACCAGGGATTTGCTTGAGGCAAAAACACTTCCAACATTTCTTTGGTTGCGTTTAGTTCAAAATATCTGGAAGAAATGTATTGTTTTTGGATAATGACACGAAGTAAAATAGAAGTAGAATTGTAAGTATTTGTTTAATGTCCTTTAAATACCTTTTTCTCCAAAAATTATATATAGTGAGACAAATGACGTCACCTATATTTTAGGATTTAGAGAATCCTAAACTGCTTTAGAGGTTTAATTTCACCTGATGTTAAGTGACTAGTATGGGCACACCAAGGACACTACTGCAAAATAACGCCTACTACTAAATTCATAGCAATAACGCATTTCTTAGTTTTAAGCCTGTTTTGATGAAGTTAAATTTGACTACAATTTTTTTTTACCCTGACACCGTCCGTGTAACATATAACACAATACAGTTATTACGTCCTCTTAATTTTTGTCTATTTATGTATTCGTTACCTACCAAGATCCTGAACAGACACCTACAGCTCAAGTCACAGGTGAGTGGCCACCTATGTTTCCTCTCTTCCCCCAGAATCAGGGGGGGAGGCTTATTTTCGGTAGGATTAGGGTTTCCGAAAAATAATGAGAAAGAAGTAGTGTGATTTTGATAGCGCACTATTTTAGATACCGTGGGACTGTGTGTCGTTGTGTATGGAATACTTAGAAATGAACTTACGGTCTTGCGCATTTCACCATCGATATGTATGAAGTTTCCAGGGAACTGAAAAGATTACCAGAAAATCAAAATAAAGAATTTTCTTAGCATAATATGAGACATGCACAGTCTGCTACCGCGTCTAACATATAAACACAACATTGATTGGAAAATATGTTGCCAAGGAAATATTATTAAATCTGTTTAAATAGTTGCCTCAAAAAAGAGAAGATATGTTGTCTGGTACACAAACAACGCGACAATTAAATTTATTAATTTGGCATTTAAAGATATTACTTTTGATGTTGCCGGCTTTTGCCAAATTTGTAGACGGTGATCGACAAAAAAAAGATCTTTATAATCCTTATCGTTCTATCTGTAAGTCTGTATTCATCTTTTTGTTGAGATATACAGAGAGTTCTGTAAGCTTTCACAAATCTTTATAAAATATACTCTTTATTTTTAAACGATTTACAAAATATAAACAAAAATTTTTCAGAGGTTTAGAAACAGGACATTATTTTGTTTTCATAATTTGCAACATCATGTGTAAATGCATTCTTTGACTTCAGGCGGCGATCAGCTGTACTAGACTTGAATCGAACGAAATATGTTGATTACTGCGTCATCAGGATGAAGGACACGCGTTTTTAATTAGTTCATCCAGTAAGTACAGTCAGTCAGCCCTTAGCCACCGCGATTAACTGAGTTTTATGCTGTTCTATGTCAATGTAGATGTGCTAACGACGAATTATTATCGTAATAATAATATTGTTGTTATTCGTGAGATATTTGTTTAGTCTTATTGCGTTCGTCATAATACACAGCAATGGTGTCAATAGTTATGTTATCGTGTGGGCAAGACTTCGTGTTGTAACGAGCCCCGCTAACTTTATTTTGAATAGTAACAATATTAGTTAGTGTTGTGTAGTGTGTGTAGAACTGAGTGCAAGAGTGCAAGAGAAATTGGAACTCTATCAAAACGCATCTTTAACTTTTCGGAGAATAATGAGGCATAGAATCAATCGTGTATGGCCTACACTGACTGCCGAATTTTTGAAAGGGCGGTACAAAGATTACGAGACAACCAAAGTACCTACCAAGGAGTGACACGTACTGCCGGGTCCGAAGCTAGTCGAGCATTCCCGAAATAAAAAAGTGAATAAAACCGTTTTTAAATAAATTTATTTTAAAAAGCAAGTGATTGAAAGAATGTAAGGTTCGCAAGTTCGTCGCGGAGGCGACGTCGCTTTGATGTCGCCGACATTGCGACGCTGCTGCCGTCTACAGTTCTGCGACTCATGTTAACAATGGTGTTCTAATTCGGCATTATTTTATTGTATTTATTTTATTCTAAATTTGCATTTCTATATTTTCATACTAATTTTTATTTTATTTTAACCGACATATATAAAACCGTGTTATCTGTTGTTTGATTTTTTGTGATTAGCTATAGGATAGGTTGTATATATAGTCCTGGAACATTGAAGAGGTTATCACCTTTCTTAAGTAATACTGTAGTATTTTCTTCTGTAGTATTTTCTTCTGTATATCTATATTATGTAGATATCATAATTGTAACGGATGTAAAGTTTTCAGATTTATTTAGTACCTAGTCATGCAAACGTTTCAGTAGATCATTAAACAATACATTTCAAAGGTCAGATTTGCAACTTTTAATGTTATGTTACTCGTTTATATTCTACAATTCAAATTAACATTCTAGAACATAGTATTCCTTCCACAAGATACAAGTTCATATATCAAATGCAAACTGCAACCATTTAAACAGATTTATATTAAAAATATAGTTATATTCCGAATTTGGCCGACTTTGGACCATCATTAACAAGAAAAGAGTGACTTTTATGGGTATTGTTGATGAATGAGCCCAACCCATCTGCCACCAAATGTGCGAACAAGAAGCGTGTCCCGAAAACGAATGTTTTCTAGCTTTACTCTGGCACTTCGCTGTCGTCGGCTCCATGAAGGCCGAACAATTCAAGGGCGTCGCCTAGCCCCTCTCCTGACAGGAATTTGCGAATCATATCGAGTACACCTCCTTGTTTGGAAGAACGCTTTGGCCTAAACACACATCATATAAAATATATACTCACTTTAGAACTCTACAATCTCTCGCGATTTAATAATATGTTATAGTAGACTGGTATTGTAATAGACTATAAACTGAAACTAGAGGCAGGGATAACTAGCAGAATAAAATTACACTCATGTTTAAAATGGCTAGTACCTGTGTATAGTCCATTTGCGTTAAGATAATAGTGACGCATTGATCAAGCCTCGCACTCTGAACAATCGGGTTCCGGGTTTCGTACGAAACTATAATTTCTTGGAACATGATTGGTCAGAGGGCGGGGTTTGGTCGATTTGTCACTATTTTCTTAATACGAATGGACTATCTACTTATTATTCGACTAAACTACCTTTGAGCAATAACGTTAGCAAATTTTTTGTAAGAGTGCGCTTTCTTTATGTATAATAAATATTGCTTGTTTAAATAAAAATCTTTGTTTTAAATCAAAAACCATTCTAATTCCTAAATTAACTGATTACCTAAAAATGTTTTAAAATTAATTTCCAACAATTAAACGACTTGATAACGAATGTTTGATGATATAGAGAAGGTAATAGTTATTACTGTTTTATAAGGCATGTGCAAGTTTATAATACTGATAATGGACCTATTTCAAAGTGTTGCAAAGGTACCAAATACTGTTTTATTAGCTTGATACTTTTAAAAGTATTTACTTTTGCCTTTAAAGTTTGAGTACATAGTTAAAATTGTACTTCTTCTTTAAAAAAAAAAAAAAGTATATAGAGGCGTTCCATTGCTTTTTAATTATTTTTTTACATTGGATGACAGATGAGTTAAAATGCAAGTATGGGGAGTACACATTTGTGTAATGATAGCCTTTTTTTTTAATAGAAAAGGCTAAGAAATCAACATAACGTTTACATAATCAGTAGTATAATCACATCACGATAAAGCAATCTTCACGCACGCATGATTTAATCACAATAAGTTATCGAACGTAATTTGTATTACATCACTATGCTGCAACAATAACACGTAGAGGAAGTTTTGTAACAAAAAATGGCTCTGTGTACATATACCTAATGGATATAATTGGATTCCATGGCCTTTAATAGTCCACTACTAGACATAGACTCTTCTCAGAAAGGATATCAATTTTTATATTTAAATTTATTATACGCGATCTTATGGAATGTTAGTATCCGACTGATGGTCGATGTTTGGCTGAAGCCTGAAGCCCGAACCCATTTTGTTTAATACCCCTCAGTTTAGATCGGGTTTGTAAATTTAAGAGTTGATTGTAAGCAAGATGACTAAAATAACCTTAAAGTAATTAAAATATAATAAACAAATAATAATATTTATTTACTTTCACGTAATGAAACTGGCTTCGCATAAACTCCATAAACGCATATTTTGGCACAAACTGAAGATTTGGCCGAGACATGTCTTTTAGCACAAGGTTCGGTCGGACACTAGTGTTTATTCAAATTACTTACTTCAGATAATGGTACATGCCGATGCTAGTTGAGCTCTTGTCAAAAATCTTTTGTCCTAATGCATATAGTGGGCGCCACGGCAGTGTCAAGTCATCCGGCGAAATCAACTGTCTTTTTCTGTAAAAATATTTAACATTAGTAAAAATAATAACATTTCAATTTGTGCCAATCATACTTCGATAAAAATGTAGGTCTCAATGTGTATAAGATGTATATATAAATGTACGACTAATAGTTAAAATAATTTGTAAGAGGCAATAACAAAATGTGCTGTTTATGCAGGAACTTCTGAAAAACAGTCTTCAATATAGGGTGTACAGTAAAAATCTTAGAGATAGGACATTTCACTAGCGCAGTAATAACGGTCATAACCTAAAAAGAGAAAAGGATGAATAAGTGCTAAACCAGAGGTCGTAGGTTCGATTTCCACTCAGGACCAATAATTGTGTGATGAGCACGACTATTTGTTGTGATTTAAAATATATAAGTATGTCTATCAGCAGTCTGGTTACCATAGTTACGGCTTTAGTTACAGATTTGTGAGGTTATTATTATTACTATTAAAATATACCAATCATCTACGTATTTCTTAATAATATTTAAAGATATCCCTTTTTTTCTTATTTCTATATGCTCTAAGATTCCGTGATCACCAGAAGTTAGTTATTTATAAGTCTTAAGTAAGAGGTCTTACGGTCGCGGTAATAAGTCCAGTCCCACTTTTACAAAGTTATAGCATTATAAATAGTTGGGACTTCTCTTCTAAGAGCGTATATCACACACACACATACACACGCTACATACTTATGATAATAGTATTAATGGTAACTAATTTCGACTTAATTAATAACTGTTCGTCTGGCGCTGCGGCGGCGCTGATGCAAATGCTGTGCTATCAAAACTCATGCAACCTCATAGTAACTTTTTGAGAATTCATGGAATATGGTTATAATGAGTGCAGTGTTGTAACGAACGTCGAAAAATAAAAATCTTTGAGTCAATGTTTTAAACTGATAATCACTGAAAATTGACAGAAGACTTTAATCAATAAACTAATTTATTGAATATTGAATATCAGTATTCGAAGTGCAAGCAAAAATCAAAATGTCCAACGAGAATTATGAAAATATTAAAGTCAAATGTGTTTATTATATTATATTCTATTAAACTAAATATACCTTTTATCTCCTATAACTATAAGTTAAAGTAACAGAATCCAAAAATCATTTCCTGTCATAAAAAAAAACGTCCAAAAAGTGAGCAGGCACTGAGGTTCGAACAGTCATCACTCGCCATCAGGCACACAGTGGAAGCGAGCTAATCGTACTATTCTGCCACTGGTTTTTCTGACTACTGAGTTTAATTTTTTCATCGCTTTCAAATAATTCTCAATTCTTCTAAATTCTAATATAAGCATATTTTTATGTAAAGTACAAATATACTTATATTTGAATTAAAAGTAAAATAATAGATTAAATAGTGCTGATATTATTTTAAACACATGAAGAGTTTACAATTACATATTTTCAAAAACTTGTCAACTCCCGGATTGAAAGAAATTAGGTACTTTAACTAAATTTATTTAAATTTTATCTTTAAAAATGGCTTGTAGCCAAATCAAATTTTATACGAATCAATCTTAAACCCTTTTCTATATATAGAGTGAAACCCGTTTAATACGATTACCCCTAATGGGATTTCACGCATCCATTTTACGTCAATTCCTGTAACTTTACGTACCTTTTAACACGCGTAATAAGATTCGTCATTCTGCGTAATACGTCTAGATGACGTATATACGCGCGTCAGCTAAGTACTGGACTGAAATGTGTCTATTATTGTTTAGTGTGTCTTAAGATAGAGACAATCCGGTTTTTTTAAGTTCAGATTTTTTGTAAATTCAGATGAAGTTAAGGTGCTATGTTTTTTTTTGGGTAGAAGCCAAGACGCTCTATTTATTAATGCTTTGAACTCTTTGTCAGATAAAAGTAATTTGTATTTAGTGATATTATTAAAAATAATAATACATTATTTTGTAACGCAATTATAAAATACATACATATTTATAATCATCATCATCAACAGCCTTTAGTCCACTGCTGGACGTAGGTCTCTCCTTAGAAAAGAGGGCCTGCTATGATACATACATAACATTATAGTAACCAAGAGCGAATCCAGGGATTGTGTTATAACTCCATTGGGTTATATCTAGTTCGTAGGATTTATTTAAGTAAACAAATCGGAGTTTGCCGTGAGTATTGACTATAAAAAAATAATGACTAGGGGATCTCTCAAGTTAATTGCACCGATGGATTCCTTCTTAAAATAGCTTCCTAACTACTTTATAAATATATATGTATGTGTATAAATTATTACCTATGTAAAATTAGTACGGAATACGCTCTATTTTCCTTATTCCGCACAATACTTAGTCTTTTAAGACACGTTTTTAGCTGGATCCCTAAAAATTTTCTTAAATGGGTTTTACTGTATATTTAACAACAAAATTTTATAACAATATTTTTTTAGATTTTGAGTTTCCAAAAAATATCTTAGTTTGGAGTGGTTATGATTTAGATCGCCTCAGTCCTCGTGCCAAGGGCTGACACTTATCTTCGTCTGGAATGTATTAGAATTGTGACTGTCTGGCTGCTTGAAATATATTATAACTAGCTGATCCGTGCAACTTTGTCTGTTTCTCTCAAAAGGAATTAATTTTGCCAGTTTACGCAAAATTTTTCATAGATATTCCGCTCCTATTGGTAGTATTATGATGATAAATAGCTTTTTTTCTACCTCGATAAATGGGCTATCCAGCACTACAAGAATTTTTCAATTCGAACCAGTAGTTCCTGAAATTACTCCGAACATACAATCTCACAAAGTTTACTTTTTTATAATAGTAGTATAGAGTATAAATAATGGTTACCGTAGTGATATCATTATCATCTGCCTACCCTTATCCCCAATTTTATTTGGGGGTGGCGCAGTAAGCCAATTGATTTCAGCCTTTATACTATATACGAGGGGTGATCAATAAGTAATGATAATCGAGTATTTCTAGAACGCACAAAAACCCTAATTATTTTTTTTCTGCTTACTTATATATCCACTACTTCAGCTTCAAAAAAATGTATAAATAGGACACCATTACCGGGAGATACATTCATTTGAATACGAACTGTCGAAGAGAAAACATCAAAATGGAGAAAAATGAAATAAGAGCTGTCATCAAGTACCTCTGCCTGAAAAAAATGTCTACCAAAGACATACACAGCGACTTAGAGGAAACATTGGGGGAGTCTGCTCCTCCATATTCCACAGTCGCACGCTGGGCAAAGGAATTTAAGCTGGGCAGAACCTCCACTGAAGATGAACATCGCGAGGGACGCCCTTCCACGTCCCTTACTGGAGAAAACGTCAAAAAAGTGGAAGATATCGTGTTGGCCGATCGAAGGGTGACCGTAAGGCATGTAGCTGAGGTCACAGGGATCTCCCATGGCAGCGTTCAAAAAATCATTGTGAACAAAATGCATATGAAAAAGGTCTCTGCGCGTTGGGTACCGAGAATGTTAACCGACGAGCAAAAAAAGAAACGAGTCGACATTTCGAGGGTGAATCTTCAAAAGTTCCAGGCCGATAAAGAATTTTTTTTGTCGCGTTTTGTGACCATGGACGAGACCTGGATCCACCACTTTGATCCCGAAACCAAACAACAATCAATGACTTGGAAACGAGCATCCTCACCAACGCCGAAGAAATTCAAAGTGTCAAGTTCAGCGGGAAAGGTTATGGCGTCTGTTTTCTGGGATGCAGAAGGAATTATTATGGTGGAATATTTGGAAAAGGGGGCCACTATAACAGGCTCTTACTACGCAGGCCAAATAAGAAGATTGCGAGAAGCTATTAAGTCAAAAAGACGCGGTAAACGGCGCGCTGGAGTGCTGTTTCACCAAGACAACGCCCCGGCTCACAAAGCCGCAGTTGCGATGGCTGCCATTGAAGAAACGGGGTTCGAACTGCTCGAACACCCTCCCTATTCGCCAGATCTAGCTCCCAGTGACTTCTACCTCTTTCCTCGGCTCAAAGAACACCTCCGGGGCAACAAATTTGAGGACAATAGCGAAGTGATGGCCGCAGTAGAGGCATTTTGGGAGGGTCAAGACAAAGAATTTTTTTCTAAGGGAATTATGGGCTTAGAAAAAAGATACACTAAATGTATTAACTTGCAAGGAGACTATGTTGAAAAATAAAATACTTTTTTTAATCTAATAGTTCTGTTTCATATTGATTATCATTACTTATTGATCACCCCTCGTATCTCTCACACGGCCGTCTGATCCCAATCTAGGCAGAGCCTGTACTATGGTATATATTTTTAAATAGATACATATTATAAATAAATTACACCCAGACGCAGAACAAATGACCGTGCTCATCACACAATATTTGACCTGGGTGGGAATCGAACCCACGACCTCCGGTTTAGCAGTCAGGGTCACTAACCACTAGACCAACGGGCCCGTCTGTCCCGGGGGTCGGTGTCTGGCGAGTTGCCACAATAGAAAGTATCTCACATTAATAGCCGTGAATCTTATTGTTTTCATTCTTATCATAAAATGACAATGTTACATCTCTTATGTACTTGTACTGTTAGACATTAGCGTACACAGAAATTAGTTCTGAATTACATGCATCATATGTCAGTAGAACATTTAACAGTGCAAATATAATTGAATTAGGTTACATGTTTTAATGTGTATACAGAATGTTCCAGAAGTCGATGTCAAGCTGGAATCGGGTGATAGGTCGGCTGGAATCGGAAATATATCGGAAAAAAATCTTTGCTAAGTATTTTAAAAATTACAGGCATTTATAAAAAAAACGAGAAAATCTACACCCTGTGACGGTCTTTTAACTCCTGTTACTAGAAATTTTAACTCTCTTTTACCCTATCCATCTGTTAACTCAAACTAGAATCTTACGGCTAATAGCCTAACAGGCTTGAGTAAAGCTTTGGGGTACAAAATTTTCATTTGAAACAGGTGAGGAAAACTAATTTACAACTGGGTTTCTTAAATATATAATATTTTTTTCCATAATTTAACAAACAATCTTGCAAGTGTTGCCATTTTCGAATCAGTATTAAATGTGCCATTTTTTATTTTTTTTATTTTAGTTACTTGTCAAACTTGTGTAGTAAATTTTTTTTAGTATAGTTATTTAAAACTGGGCAAAGTATTAATTTTTTTTGGTCTGGATTAATTTTGGTCGGGAAAAAAATTTAATTTCCTTCTGAGGGCCAAGTGCGAGTTTATTTTACATCGACTCGCTCTCGATGGCGAGTGCGTTTAGCTTTACGATTGGTGGAGATTTCAGTGCGGGCCAATCGTAGCGCCGAACGCCGTCACCGTGACAATCGAGGAGAAGTAAAATTAACTCGCACTTGGCACTCTGGTCTGCAGCTGTAAATTTTAAGCAACAGTTTTAGAAGCATTTTTAGGATTACATCATAAAAGGAAAATTAAAAAAAAGTTGAAAATTGTAGTAACAGGAGTTAAGAAACCGTCACAAGTGTAGATTTCCTCGATCTTTATATAGTATAAAATAAAGTCGCTTCTAAGTCGCGTGTTGTACCCTTAGATCTTTTAAACTAAGCAATGGATTTAATTTCGGATTTAATTTTTATTCAAGAGGAAGGTTTGGTTTTAATACATGCGTATTAGAGAACATCCTAAAATTTCAAAGATTTGTCGTAAAAAACATGTTTTTGTGCGCTTATATTGCAAACACTAAACCTTACAAGATAGAGCAAAATAACGTACTACGGAAATGTATATTATACAAAGATCTATGGTATATGTCTGTGGTATGTATGTGGTAATCCGTTTGGAGACGGATTCAGAATACACAGCATATCATGAAAACAAACATTTTAAAAGATATTAGAGGTTTAAAATGTGGGGGCCAGATGTCCTGTAGTATAGTCCTATCATAATAATAGTATTATTAATTGCTCCACACTGACACCACATTCATCCGTGCGAAGCGGGGACAGATCGCTAGTGTAAAAAAAATGCCTGTAATTTATTTCTTACTTTTCTGAATTTATATTTTACTTTTCTGTTAACTATTATCACCTGATTCCGGCTTGACATCAACTACTGGGATACCCTCTATGTATTTATGTTGTTCAAGAACTTACAGTACTGTATAGTTGAGATAGCACTGTGCATTCAACCCTTTACTATATACTACTTACGTACTTACTTAGTGAGCATTAAAAACATCGTAGCAAACTTGTGAACTTTGCAAGGTTCTAGATCAGGAATAAGTATTAGTTCATAAGCTAGCTTTATCAGTGCTATGTGATCTTCTTTTGAAAATTTCAAGCCATGTATTCTTATGTATCTGAAAAAAAGACAATTATGCCATCAATTTGGATATTATTTTAGTACCTACATAGTTTAATAATAACAACCACATTGTTGTAAAGCCACAGGGATAAATTTTTAACATTTTGTTAGTCTTGAAACTGACAAAATTCTGTATTATATATGTACATATATTATGCATATTATATTTGTGAATGTTTGGATGATGCATTCCTGATTGGCCAATAGCTAGAATACAATTTTATGTTAATCAAATACATTTATAATATGAACATTACCAGTTGCAATAAAAAGGATGTAATCATTTGAATTTTTGTGTTGCAAAAGTCTAAACCATGTTTAAAATTCTGTTCTACAATACAAACCTAAATAGTAGATAAATTTTAAATGACAGCCTGCTTTTTACTATTTCTAAATATGATATAGAATGAGTTATTGAATAGTATATCTGATCTTTTTGATGGGCCTGTTGGTCTAGTGGTTAGTGACCCTGACTGTTAAGCCAGAGGTCATTGGTTCAGTTCCCAGCCAGGACAAAGAATTGTGTGTCTTGGTGTAATTTAACTATAATATGTATTGATATTAGGAATATAAGTATGTTTATCAGCAGTCCGGTTTTCATAGCACAAGCTCTGCCTAGTTTAGTATCAGACTGTGTGACATGTCTGAAGTTATTATTATTTTTGATTAGGGGGATAAATAATTGTTGGAAACAATGTGTGTGTGTCATCATAATAAGGAATAACATGAATATGTGTGTGTTATCTGAGGCCAGGTAAATGCTGTAGGAAACTCTGGGTAGTAGCCAACACATTTGAAACTTCAGTCATACTTGCCAAAGGTTATCTCAGTAAATGTAACTACTATCCTATTAGGTATGTATATTTGAATGTTAACAATAGACTTGATTGAATATTATCCATACATATATTATAAATGTGAAAGTGAATGTGTTTGCTTGTTTCTTACAGTTTCACACCTAAACAAATTCTTTCAACCAACATATACATAACATAGGCTACTTTTACCGCTATAAATGATATACACACAGGTGGAGCCGCAAGCAAAAGCTTATAAAAAATATTTTTACTTCTTCCAAATTAGAAAGATATGTTAAATTTCTTATGAAAGGTCTAGAACCTTTGATAAAATATTTTTTGGACAGGATCAGATATGATAGGTAGTTAGTAATAAGCAAAAATAATACATTTTCATTATCTCTACATTTATGAATAGCTTTTAGTAAGGCAATTACATGATTAGCTGCTTAAGATTATTCAAGACATAACTTTTTTAAATGAGTACTGAAAATTCCATCCCATTCCATACATTCATTCCCACATTTGAATTTGTTGTAGAACAGAATGGACTGATAAACATTACACACATACACTTCCTGAATGGTATTTTAGGTATTATTACTAATATTAAATATTATTATTAATGTTTTAATATTTATTAAAACATATTGTGATGAAATGAAATGAAGGACTGTGTGAAAGCGGATGACTAGTGATAGAGGAGAGGGGCAGAACAAAACTCATTGCACCGACCCCAAATAAATTTTATTTAAACACTGGATGGATTTGAACTTTAACTTTGTAGTTTCATATACTCATTTTCAAATCATTTTTAAGTTTATCACACATTATATTTAAAAATTGTAACTTTTTCACTTATACATATAAACAATTTAAAGGATTGTTTTACTTAGTTACTTATTGCAGGTAGAATACTCCAAAAGAGATCATTTTAAAATGTTAAAAAACTTTAAATTAAACAAATATTGAAAATATCTTATTAGAACAACCTCTATTGGTGAAATCATTTTGATTTCATATTATAACTAAATACCCACAAATCATATGATTACGGAAAATAATGTTAGATTAAAAAATTGAATTTATGAAAATATATAACTGATACAGGCCTGTGTCAACTTAAAATGAAAATATGATACAACATATTTAATTTAATGCAATATGAAGATACAATATAAAAATTAAAAAAAGAATTAAATATTAAGAAATGAAGATATTTCATAGTTTTTATAAGCTATTAAATCCTAGATTGCAAAATGGGGACTTAAGTATCTATTAAGAATAATGACTCAATGATCAAGCAAATTTAACAGACTAAATTAAGTACATATAATTAAATAATAAAAATATTTACTTCATAAGCCTTGAGGACCAGATACCGCACGCCGGCTTCATCTCACGCAGCATGACAGCCTTAGCCAGGTTTATCTTCACTTGTTCCAGGAATCTCATCGATTCCTCATCCAGTTCAGCAGCATATGGCAATATATGATTTGTCAATATCTCTTTCTGGGGTTTGAACCCTAGAGCTTTGATCCGCTCTGGGTTCGAAACCATAAGCTCAAACTCATCGTCTTGAATCATTTTGAATGATTAAGGTGCGTTGTGTATTAGAAAAAAAATTATTGTATCGCTAACATATGTCCTTCGGATTTAGCGGATACATCAGCCCGGTTATATATCAATGAGATGCACGTCCATGGATCACAACTTTTATAATGTTAGTAACAAATCAAATTAACATTAAATTTACACAAGTCATCGAGATAACACTAAAAGAAATTCCAAATCGCCAAGTCAGTCTGAATGAAATACGTTCCTTTCCGCAAAAGTCTGACATGTGTCATTTTAGTCGATTAGTCATTCCTAGAACATTATAGTGGTATCTCTTTATCTTTGTTTATAGTGTGTAAAATAAGTGGTATTTTTAATAAATATGATAGAAAATATACAAAGTAATAAAAAAAAAATCACGTTCAATCAAATCAAAATCAATCAAAGTACGTTTGTTCCTCTTATACACGCTGCCGAATTGAAGGCATATTCTCGTAATAAAAGTTCGGTCATTCGGTCACAATTAAGTTCAAAATGTTCCGATTAGACATGGCACAAAATCACAGTGAACTGTGATTTTTTTATTATTGTATTTTTATGGCCTGGTAACAAGACCTTTAAGCCAAGTCTTAATTTTTGATAGATAACTTCACTATTTTCACTTCACTTCAATGTTCAAATGGGGATTCTAGGCGGGAATCTGTCTAAAATCCTCCGCCCTTTCAGTTCAAATTCCCGCCTAGAACTCCCCTGTGATTTTTGCTTAGGTGGTTAGGGTTGCTATACTAATACTATAATTAAGAAAAACATAGTCATCAACACCAACCGCTTTAAATCGAAAAAAATGTTAATTTCGGTTTTAAACGTTTTTTTTTGTTCTAAACTAATTGGTTTTAAACCGGCCGTACATCTATAGTCTTTGTAATACTTTACTATTTTTAGGAAATTACTTTTATAACAGTTGCCATACCGTGAGTTGATCGGAATTGAATTGTAACCAAACTTTTTTACAACGATTGCCCTTCTGTTCATTTAGTGATGAAAATTTTACACACAAGGGAATTGCGTCAGTGCAGCTCTCATTGTGTGCAAGTCGTTCAATGAAGGAAGATGAAAGAAGCTTTTTCTGCTAAAAAGTCAGAAGATAACTAAACATTGCATTTCTTGATAGAATTTACTGAATAAACATACATAGTATACAATAACATACTATGTATGTTTATTCAGTAAATTTCGCAAGCGCTTATAAATTGTCGACACTTGCAGCTGAGTTGAACTGAAAGATAGCATAAATAGTTTAAAATTCTGTTTTTTTTTTACCTAAAACAATTAAATCTTTCAAAAGATGTGATGCAGCAGTTAATTAGTGGAACTGTTATTTCAGTCTTCCAATCCGCGTGAGAAAGAATTTTCAATAGTCACATGAAGAATTTCTAAGCAGACAAATGTATCGAAAACGTACTATAGCGCTATTGGTAGCACGAACGCTTCCATTTTGCAACCGTAGACATGATTTTATGGCTCCAGAAAGAGACTGGTGAACGGGATCGAGAGAGGGCCGATCCCGAACGAAGAGGACGTCGGCGCCGATAACAGCCGTCGACGGGGCCGCGGGCCGCCAGAGAGTGGGGAACTCTGGTGGCATATTGATTGCCGCGGTAGGGGATGGAATGGCCGGCCTGATTGCATTAAGATGCTATGCCGCCGCCATGCCGCGATTGAGGGGAGTGTTCTCCCCTGGGATAGGGCCTGAGTAGGCATGGTGTCAATTCGGGGAGAACCTGAAATAGCATTGTCCGGGTCACCCCAGAGTAAGACACCTGAGGCCGGCCGTCGGGGTGGTTTTTAGTGGAATCAACACATACTCCTGGCTCCCTATAATTTTAGATATAAAACTACACTACTCCACAAAGGGCTCCCTATAATTTTAGATATAAAACTAAAAGTGCGAACTGGGCTTTGTTTGGTTCACTCTTTGCAACTCATACCAAAGACTTCAGTCGCAGTAGTTTATCAGCTGAGGAAAGCGCAGAAATACTATCAGAAACTTTTACATACTGCGCTGATGTAACTATTGGTCGCGGATCTATCACTAACACTCGTAGATGTGATTGGTGGAATGATAGATTAGCCGAACTACGTAGAAGCTACCGGAAAGCTCGTAGAAAATTAAACACTATTAAAAAACATAACGTAACAGGAGATTTGTACAACAATGCTCTCATTGCTCTTAGAGTTGCCAGGTCCCACTACAGAGCTGCTGTGGAAAAATCCAAGGGAAACTTAATTCAGAAACTTGTTGATAAACTCGATAGAGAGGGCCCGTGGTGGAGAGACCTTTGTATCACGAATTTAAGGCAAATAGATCAATCGACCTTGCATACATACAGAACATCAAAATTAATAACAGATATACCACAGGAGTAGAACAAACAGCAGAATATCTTTTAGACTCACTCGTACCTGACGATCGACCGGAAAACGACACTGATCATCACCGACAGATCAGGCAGTGGGCCATCGAACCACCACTGTCTCCAATGTCTGATTTACCATCTTCAGACGAATTTCTCGGTATCATTAGATCCTTGCCGCTAAACAAGGCTTCGGGCGATGATAAAATATCTAACAAAATGATAAAAGAAGCTTGTAAACTTTCGGGTGACACGATTTTCACTGTCTTTAAACGTTGCATTGCTGAAGGAATATTTCCTCGTATATGGCGGTGCGGTAATATTCGTATAATACCAAAAAGTGGCGACAAGCCACCGGATGATCCTAAATCCTACCGACCAATCACATTATTACCCCCGGCTTCTGCCAGGTGGAGTCAAATTTCATGATAGACAATTTGGATTTACGTTGGGTAAATCGACAACTGACGCTGTTATATCGGTTAGAAAGTTTGTCACAGAGTCAAAATTTCAATACGTGCTGGCTATTTTCTTAGATATATCTGGCGCCTTCGACAACGCATGGTGGCCCATGCCGTTGCTGAAATTAAAATCACGGGGGTGCTTTAAAAATATTTATTCCCTTATCTCTTCGTACTTTTCACAAGGTACAACTAAACTAAGACTTGGTCATCGTTCTGTGTCGAAGGCGCTTACAATGGGATGTCCTCAGGGATCGGTGCTAGGTCCATACTTGTGGAATATCGGCTTCGACGATTTTCTTGCGATACCAATACCATCCGGATGTACTCTGAACGCGTATGCTGATGACGGCTTATTACTGGTGGAATCTGATACTAGGGCGGGGCTTGAGAGATTAGCCAATAGATGTTTGAACTTGATATCTCAATGGGGTGAACGTAATCGCTTAACTTTTGCACCCAACAAAAACTTCCAGCTACTTTTAAAAGGTAACCTCAAATCACCGCCGAGCATTAGATTTGACAATGTTACTGTAAAAAATAAAACTACAGTGTGTTATCTAGGATTAGTTTTAGAAAGAAACTTTTCATTTATCGAACATATTAAAATAGTTAATGAAAAGTCTAAAAAGAGTTTCTGTGCATTGACAAGGATATCAACTGCGACATGGGGTCTATCATTTAATACATTAAAGATCATATACGGAGCTACTTATTTAGGTTCAATGTGCTATGGTGCACCTGTATGGGCCGATAGGGCGACCGTAGGCGCTGTCCGTCGCAAACTGTTACAAGGCCAACGACTTGCACTGATATTCTTGTGTAAGGCATATAGGACGGTTAGCACTGAGGCTTTGCCGGTGTTGGCGGGTGTGCTTTCGGTCGATCTCGAGGTGCAGAGACGTGCAGCCATGTACTATTCAAGACAAAACATGGAATGCGATTTCTTGAGCGCGCGGGATCGCGGTAAAATTACAAGATTGCTTCAACAGCAGTCCGATGTCTATAATGACCTCATAGACGAATGGCAACAACGCTGGGATGAATCATCCAAGGGGCGCCATCTTTACCAATTCTTTCCATCTGTACGCGAACGGTTGTCGAGGATATGGCTTGAGGTGGATCACTGTGTCACTGATCACTCAATTTCTTACGGGTCATGGTAACTTTAAGAGCAAGCTTTATTCATTTAAATTAGTCGAGTTACCATTGTGTCAATGCTCAACACCTAACTCTCACTATGAACAGTCTGCTCATCATATCCTCTGGGAATGTAGTTTTTGGTATAGTGAACGTAATATAATGCTGAATAGCTTGCAGGTGACATCTGGGGCGGTATACTATGGGGATCTTGTGTCAACTAGGGTGAATTTCCGTGCGTTTAGGCGATTCTGCCATACATATTATAGAAATCAAACATAGCTCACGTAGGACCCGTAATATTTGTGGCCGTGGTGCTTCCCTGTTTAAAAGGGTGTATGCCCATTTTACTTCATTTTGTCTCCCGCTTTGCTAAGGAGGGAAGTGGATTTACTGTATTTCCTACTCCTCCAATTTTCTTCTGATTAATTTCGTTGCGGGTTCCAAGACAGTTTAATTTCTTCCTGGGACTTCCCGAGTGTCAAAACTCGGTGTGTTCGTGGGTCACTGCTGTGGATCCTGGTGTACAGGAGTTACAGTGGTGGGCGTGTGGGTGGGATTAGTCCCATACTCCTGGCTCCTGAATCCCCGAGGAGCAGGAGATCCGAAGGGAATTTATTTCTTTATTTATTTAAATCTTTATGCAAACATGTGGCAAAGGCGGACTTAATGCCGTAGGCATTTTCTACCAGTCGACCTTAGGGCGATGCAGAGCCAAACGTGGTAGATGCACAGAAATTAAAAATGAGATTTATTAAAACTATAGCATATATATAATATCATATAACCAGAGTACTTATATGAATAACATTGGAATAATTTTAATTATAAATACAATAAGTAATACACATATGATACTAATACACATAATACATAAATATACATACATATACATTTATATACTTAAATACACATAATATAAATTCTAAATGAAGAGAGTATAAAATTAAGATGAATTTGATAGTGTTTAAAAAATGTTGCCGCAACAGGTATTTAAATGTTTTACAACCCGTCA